TTGATATTATATATATCATATAATTGATGCAGTCTTTTTGAACACTTTTAAAAATACTGCAAATGAATAATATTTGTAATGTTCTGCACAGATAGTAGCTTAACTTGAATTTGAAAACATGTGGCAACTTTATTAATACAGCAGTTGAAAATATTTGTGGAAAAAAAAAATTCTTCATGGGCTTCAATGGCTCTCTAGATAAAGGGCGTTTTATGGTTGTTCAGAGGTTGTTTATACCTGTTAACACACTGCTGTAAAACACAACAAGCCCATTTGCTTATTCCTTGCAACATTGTTTTAAATAAAATGTGCAAAAATATAACTTATAGTGCACAGGATAAACATTTAAAGTGCTGTAAAGCAGAAGTACTTCAAATAAAACAGTTTTTCCATCAGTAAAAGAATATGTGGGGATTGTCCACAGTACTGAATGTATGTAAGTTGCTTTGGATAAAAGCGTCTAACAAATGACATGTAACGTAATAAAGCAATTTTCAATCGTGCCGATTTCCAGTTGTAGGGGTTTAACTCCACTAATTGGATCCGTTTTCTTTGTAGAAACCAGGCAGCTGGATATGGTTATAAAAACAAGGCAAATACAGAACATTTCCTAAAGCTATAGAGACAGGTTTAAATGATTGTGCATCCTTGATGGGAAAACCATGTTTTTATTCTCGAGTCTTTGTTAATTTTTATTGCAATAGTTGTACATTATTTATGTTAAAGTAGACGGCATATTCCTCTTATTGGATGTGATTTTAAGTAGAAAACCTGCAGGAGGATATGGTTATTTCTAAGATGTGAGATTTATCTCTGCAAAATACAGACGAGAATATTTCTGAAGAACTACTTAAAACTTTGTATATTATACGTTTCTCAAAATAAGAAACTTCAAAATAAACATTGTTAAAATCCCTTTAAATGAGAAAAACATTTTTGAATTAACTCTCAAAATAAGAATCTTTAAAATAACATTAAACTTAATAAAAAACTGTTTTTAAAATGCTACTTGGACCAATACAGGAATGGGAAGAATCACACCTTCGATTTACAAACTATGAGACTTCAGAAAACATTCAAAGGTCCTCGCAAATGTGTCGTCATGTTTGGCACATTTGTTATTAATAAAGCATTTTTTAACGGTGCAGATTTCAGTCGTCAGCAGGATATGGTTATTTTAGAAATGTACGTTTCTCCATCCATCCATCCATCTTCTCCCGCTTATCCGTGGTCGGGTCGCGGGGGTAGCAGTTCCAGCAGAGAGCCCCAAACTTTCTTTTCCCTGGCGACATCAACCAGCTCTGACTGGGGGATCCCAAGGCGCTCCCAGGCCAGCGAAGAGATATAATCCCTCCACCTGGTCCTAGGTCTACCCCTTGGTCTCTTCCCAGCTGGACGTGCCTGGAACACCTCCCTAGGGAGGCGCCCAGGTGGCATCCTAACTAGGTGCCCGAACCACCTCAACTGGCTCCTTTCAACGCGAAGGAGGAGCGGCTCAACTCCGAGTCCCTCCCTGATGACCGAACTTCTCACCTTATCCCTAAGGGAGACACCAGCCACCCTGCGGAGAAAACCCATCTCGGCCACTTGTATCCGCGATCTCGTTCTTTCGGTCATGACCCATCCTTCATGACCATAGGTGAGGGTAGGAACGAAAATGGCCCGGAAGACCGAGAGCTTTGCCTTCTGGCTCAGCTCCCTTTTCGTCACAACGGTGCGGTAAAGCGACTGCAGTACCGCTCCCGCTGCTCCGATTCTCCGGCCCATCTCACGCTCCATTGTTCCCTCACTCGAGAACAAGACCCCGAGATACTTGAACTCCTTCACTTGGGGGTAAGGACTCATTCCCTACCTGGAGTGGACAGTCCATCGGTTTCCTGCTGAGAACCATGGCCTCAGATTTGGAGGTGCTGATCCTCATCCCAGCCGCTTCACACTCGGTTGCGAACCGATCCAGTGAGTGCTGAAGGTCGCAGACCGATGAAGCCATTAGAACCACATCATCTGCAAAAAGCAGTGGTGCAATCCTTAGTCCACCGAACTGCAGACCCCCTCCCCCATGACTACGCCTCGAAATCCGATCCATGTATATTACAAACAGGATTGGTGACAAAGCGCAGCCCTGGTGGAGGCCAACCCTCACCGGAAATGGGTCCTACTTACTGCCGAGGACCCGGACACAGCTCTCGCTTTGGGAGTACAGAGATTGGATGGCCCTGAGTAGAGACCCCTCACCCCATACTCCCGCAGCACCTCCCACAGTAACTCCCTGGGAACTCGGTCATACGCCTTCTCCAAGTCTACAAAACACATGTAGACCGGATAAGCGTACTCCCAGGCCCCCTCCAGGATCCTTGCGAGAGTAAAAAGCTGATCCGTCGTTCCACGACCAGGACGGAATCCGCATTGTTCCTCCTCAATCTGAGGTTCGACAATCGGCCTGACCCTCCTTTCGAGTACCTTAGAGTAAACTTTCCCGGGGAGGCTGAGTAGTGTGATGCCTCTGTAATTGGCACACACCCTCTGATCCCCCTTTTTAAAAAGGGGAACCACCACCCCGGTCTGCCACTCCTTCGGACTTCCACGCAACGTTGATGAGACGTGTCAACCATGACAGTCCCTCAACACCCAGAGCCTTCAGCATTTCCGGGCGGATCTCATTGACCCCCGGGGCTTTGCCACTGTGGAGTTGTTTGACGACCTCAGTGACCTCCCCCCGGGAGATTGGTGTTGATCCCCCGTCATACTCCAGCTCTGCCTCTAACATAGAGGGCGGAGTTGTCGGGTTCAGGAGTTCCTCAAAGTGTTCCTTCCAACGCCCTAACACTCCATCAGTTGAGGTCAACAACGTCCCATCCTTACTGTACACAGCTTGGATGGTTCCCTGCTTCCCCCTCCTGAGGTGTCGGACAGTTTTCCAGAACAACTTTGGTGCCGCCCGAAAGTCCTTCTCCATGTCTTCTCCGAACTTCTCCCACACCCGCTGCTTTGCCTCGGCCACGGATGAGGCTGCTGCCCTTCGGGCCTGTCGGTACCTTGCAACTGCCTCGGGAGTCCTCCGGGATAACAAATCCCTGAAGGCCTCCTTCTTCAGTCGGACGGCTTCCCTGACCACCGGTGTCCACCAGGAGGTTCGAGGGTTACCGCCCCTTGAGGCACCTTGAGACCACAGCTCCCCGCCGCGGCTTCGGCAATAGAGGCTTTGAACACCGACCACTCTGGTTCAATGTCCCCAACCTCCACAGGAATGCCCGAAAAGCTCCGCCGGAGGTGTGAGTTGAAGGCCTCCTGAACTTGGGCCTCCTCCGGACGTTCCCAGTTCACCCGAACTACACGTTTGGGCTTACCAGGTCTATCCAGAGGCTTCCCCCGCCACTCGACCCAACTCACCACCAGATGGTGATCAGTTGACAACTCCGCCCCTCTCTTTACCCGAGTGTCCAAAACATACGGCCTCAGGTCCGATGATACGATAACGAAATCGATCATGGACCTTCTGCCTAGGGTGCTCTGGTACCACGTACACTTATGAGCATCCTTATGTTCGAACATGGTGTTTGTTATGGCCAATCCATGACTAGCACAGAAGTCCAGTAACAAACCACCACTCCGGTTCAGATCAGGGGGGCCGTTCCTCCCAATCACGCCCCTCCAAGTGTCTCCATCATTGCCCACATGTGCGTTGAAGTCTCCCAGCAAGATTAAAGAGTCCCCTTCAGGAGCCCCATACAGGACTCTTTCCAGGGTCTCCAAGAAGGCCGTATACTCTGAACTGCTGTTGGGTGCATAAGCACACACAACAGTCAGAGTTTTCCCCCCCATAACCCGCAGGCGTAGGGAGGCGACCCTCTCGTCCACTGGGGTAAACTCCAACAACGAAGCACCTAACCGGGGACTTGTGAGTATCTCCACACCCGCCCGGCGCCTCACACCTTGAGCAACTCCGGAGAAGAATAGAGTCCAACCCCTATCCAGAAGTAAGGTTCCAGAGCCGACGCTGTGCGTAGAGGTGAGCCCAACCAGATCCAACTGGTAACGCTCCACCTCCCGCACAAGCTCCGGCTCCTTCCCCCCCAGAGAGGTGACGTTCCACGTCCCCAAAGCCAGCTTCTGTCGCCCGGGTCTGGTCCGTCGAGAACCTCCGCTTTCACTGCCACCCTTCTGGCAGCGCACCCGACCCCATCAATGTTTCCCGTAGGTGGTGGGCCCGCGGGACGGAGAAGTGGAGGTGTTGCCCACGTTGCCTTTTCGGGCTGGGCCCGGCCGGGCTCCGTGGCAAGCCCGGCCACCAGACGCTCGCCGACGAGTCCTCCTTCTGGGCCTGGCTCCAGAAGGGGACCCCGGGCTTCCTCCGGGCCGGGTATCCTCACTTCTTGTGTCGTCTTTCATGAGGTCTTTTGAACCAATCTTAGTCTGGCCCCTTGCCTGAGACCAATTTGCCATGGGAAACCCTACCAGGAACACAAGGTTCCAGACAACACAGCCCCCAGGTTCATCAGGGCACACAAACCTCTCTACCACGGTAAGGTGCTGGTTCTTCAAAGAGGTACGTTTCTATCTGGCAAATACAGATTGAAAATAAATGCAGAAAATAAACTTTCTATTTTGAGTGACAGGTTTAGAAGATTGTGAAACCCTGAATTGGGTATACCAAGTTTATATTCTTGACTTTTCTTTTGAAGCTAAATTGTTATTAGAGTCCACCTTTTTACCATCTTGTTATAGTCCAGCACATAGAAGTGCATACGGACTTCAGACTAACCTGCAATAAAGCCTGCATTTGGAAGGAGGGCAAGGTTTTCTAATGAACATTTCTCAAAATATTGCACGTTTAATCTTCTCCCTTTTACTGACATGACCAATGTCTGCTAATCCTATGTAGTATGAGAGTTTTTTAAAAGACTGTTCTCGTCCAGATGAGCTTTTATTGGACTGTTAAGGGAAGATGTATGCATGATAAGAGCCAAGCATTGCAATACAAACATTGGATTGACACGCTGTTATTTAAGAAATGTATACACGTTTTATTATATTGCTAAGATAACGTCTCCGATATCAAGCTCTCCAAGGCAGTCGAAATATACGAGATGAATCTATGCAGTATTGAATATCTCCTCGCTCATCGTCCCGTTGAACTTTTACTTTTCATCGTCCCATTGAACTTTTCCTCGTCGCTCATCGTCCCGTTCAACTTTTCCTCGTCCCGTTCAACATCTGGTCGTCTACTTCATGGGTATCCAGGAGTACTGAAAAAACATTTGCGTCATAAATTATGGACGTCAAGATAATACATGATGTTCTCTAGACTGAAATCACAGCATGAATTCTGTAATAGTTCCTCAAGGGCTTGGTTACTTCATAAATCCTGTTTTTGTAAAAAAATGAGCGATGTTGGAAGTGAATTCAGAAACCAAACATTGATGTATTAACTTATAAGACATGCAAGTGGTTTGTTTTAGCTCGTATACACACGATTAGCTTGACATTGCTGTGTTTCAAATGAATCATACATATCACAGATTTCAGATCTTTTACACCACTTTTATGCGACACATACTGTTGTCTTTTTGGCCTTTAGAGCTCACCTTTGTGCTCATAATGGACGCCCCCCGTCGTGCCGTTGTTCTGCTGGACGCCCCCCGTCGTGCCGTTGTTCTGCTGGACGCCCCCCGTCGTGCCGTTGTTCTGCTGGACGCCCCCCGTCGTGCCGTTGTTCTGCTGAAAGCCCCCCTTCGTGCCGTTGTCTCTGGGAACCAGGTTCTGCTGGACGCCCCCCGTCGTGCCGTTGTTCTGCTGGACGCCCCCCCGTCGTGCCGTTGTTCTGCTGGACGCCCCCCGTCGTGCCGTTGTTCGGCTGGACGCCCCCCGTCGTGCCGTTGTTCGGCTGGACGCCCCCCGTCGTGCCGTTGTCTCTGGGAACCAGGTTCTGCTGGACGCCCCCCTTCGTGCCGTTGTTCTGCTGGACGCCCCCCGTCGTGCCGTTGTTCTGCTGGACGCCCCCCGTCGTGCCGTTGTTCTGCTGGACGCCCCCCGTCGTGCCGTTGTCCATGGGAACAAGGTTCTGCTGGACGCCCCCTTTCGTGCCGTTGTTCTGCTGGACGCCCCCCGTCGTGCCGTTGTTCTGCTGGACGCCCCCCGTCGTACCGTTGTTCTGCTGGACTCCCCCCGTCGTGCCGTTGTTCTGCTGAAAGCCCCCCTTCGTGCCTTTGTCTCTGGGAACCAGGTTCTGCTGGACACCCCCAGTCGTTGCTTCGCCCCAAGTGACAAACCGGTTCTGGAGGTCCCCAGTCGTGGAGTCTACCCAAATGACGACCCTTTTTTGGACGTCCCCCTCCTTGGCCACTCCCCTAACGACGACCCGGTTCTGGACAGCCTCTGCTGTGGCGGTTTCGCTATTGACGATCAGGTTCTGGACGCCCCCCGTCTTGGCTTTGTCCTTAATGATGACCAAGTTCTGGACGCTCCCCGCCGTGGCGTTTCCCCTAATGACGACCCGGTTCTGGACGTCCTCAGTTGTGGAGTCGCCTCCTATGATGACCCATTTTAGGTCACGCCCCGCAGTGGAATTTCCCCTAATGACGACCCGGTTCTGGACGCCCCCCTCCGTGCCGTTGTCCCTCGTTACGACCTGGTTCTGGACATTTGTTGTCTCGTTGACGCTCTCGGGCTTTTGTTCAGGATTCTGGTGACCAGACGCATCAGCTTCCACGGCATTGGTTTCCAGTTGTACTGAAAGAAAGAAGGATTGATTAACAAAATAAGAACCAAAATAAATCACATGATGTTATACGTCGACTGAAATCACAGCGTGAATTGTTCTGTAGTTTTCTTTTAATTCTTGCTTTTTTTAATGTGGCATTTGTTCGATTGAAGACCGTTTTTAAGATCAATTCTCAAAGTTATTCAATTTGGCACGACATTTCTCAAACGCATGGCATCAACATGCACACTACATCATGGGATGGCCATCAAATACAAAAATCTTCCCAATTTCAAGTCTTTAAAACCAGTTTAAAGCATTATCACCCCATAGTGTTCCTCAAGGGCTGGGTGTCAACTTGGTATAAGACATACAGATATCATAATGTTTTAAACCCTTTTCTACACGGTTTAAATATCTTTAGTTCATCTTATATTTCCCAGCTTTCAGATCATTTTCACCACTTTAACACTGTTGACCTTTTAGTCTTTAGGGCTCACCTTCTCGAGCATCTTGGTCCAACATGGACTCCATCGACTGGAAAGGTGCAAAGGCTTTCTTTAAGGAGATCTCATTGGCAGACAGATCTGTAGGACACAGTATAATTAAAGGTTAGCGTCAGACAGAGAGAATAAACGCTGCATAAAATCAAATGTTTTTAACTCTCAGTCTCCTCTGCAGCTTATATTCACCAGCTGGAAAACCAGAGACTGTGGACAGGAAACATGCTGTTAAATCAAACATTACTCCTTCATCTTCAACACAATTATCAAACAGGTAAATACCTCTGGCCAGACAAACAGTCAGCACACAGACGAGCATCCAAACAGCTGCCATCTCTGCAGTTTTCCAATAGAGTGTTGCCTGAGCACCAGGCAGCTTTAAAGGAGGGAAACCTCCAGCAGCTGCTACTGATCAGCACTGATTGTCTCTCTGCACAGAGGAAAACACCATTTATCTGAGATTAAACTCTGAGAATGAGGAGTTTTTCATGGAGCTTGTTGTGCATTTATGGTTAGTAGAGACCATCATTTTAAATTCACATTAAATATTCATATATTGTTTTTTTACTTTTCTCCCTTTTACAGACATGCCAACTTTATATCAATCCCACCCATTACAAATCGTATATATTATATTTAAATATGTCTTTAGTGATGGTGAGATGAAGCCTTATGAAGCTTTGAAGCTTTCCAGCCAATTGGTTCGCAAAAGGCTTCATCTCATGAGGCTTCATCATGGGCTTCATTTGAACACAAACCCCCCTGTTGGTCAAAGTGTGTAAAACAGGCAGATTGGACATCTCAACAGTGTGCTCTATCTCATACCGAGTTCCCAATGAGTAAAGCCTTAGAATAACTCTAAACAACGAACATTAAATCATATTTTCATGTTAACAATATTGTATTTATTCCAGTTTAATGATTGTGATTGAAAAGCCTAAGGAGGCTGGTAAACATTGCAAAGAGGGATTTGTATTCCTTAATAATATTCATAAACGTAACCATGTTGTAGCCTGAGAAAGGCTAAACCATATCAAAGAATACATTTATTAACTACATTATCTAATTTAGTTGTAGCTTTTATAAACAACAAAAAATACGTATTGTTCAGTCTTTGAACCAGGGACCCTGCGGTCATGAGTCAACTGTTTTCCAGCTGAGCCACAGCACACACACTAAAGCTCCCTGAAAACACTGCAAGATATGTATTCCTGTATTTATTCATGTTTTTATTGATTTTTTTATTCCTACATTTATTTATGCTTGTATCTATTTATACTTATGACATGTTCCGACCTCTATATAAGTGAGGGTCTGAGCTCTCTTGATTCCATCGTGTCACCGGACCCGGGTACAGGAGGGGTAATATGGTTGTTGTTATACATCCATGGGTATTATGAGCGTTGTGGTTCAACGGTTCAACCGATCTGAATGGCTTCCTGAAGCAGTCACGTGGTATCGACAGGCAGCGAGGCTTCGTTTGTCATCGATGACGTCACTGGCCCAAAACGATACAAGCCTCGATACAAGGTTCACAAAAAGCTTCGGGGATTACTCGACACACGCTCCGAAGCCTCGGCGCAATACGTAACATCATTACATGTCTGCATGATTAGCGCCAAACCTTTCTAGACATACACATACAGTGGTGCAAAAAAGTATTTAGTCAGCCACCAATTATGCAAGTTCTCCAACTTAAAAAGTTGAGAGAGGCCTGTAATTTTCATCCTAGGTACACCTTAACTATGAGAGACAGAATGAGGAAAAAAATCCAGAAAATCACATTGTCTGATTTTTAAAGAATTTATTTGCACATTATGGTGGAAAATAAGTATTTGGTCAATAACAAAAGTTAATCTCAATACTTTGTTATATACCCTTTGATGGCAATGACAGAGGTCAAACATTTTCTGTAAGTCTTCACAAGGTTTTCACACACTGTTGCTGGTATTTTGGCCCATTCCTCCATGCAGATCTCCTCTAGAGCAGTGATGTTTTGGGGCTGTCGCTGGGCAACATGGACTTTCAACTCCCTCCAAAGATGTTCTATGGGGTTGAGATCTGGAGACTGGCTAGGCCACTCCAGGACCTTGAAATGCTTCTTATGAAGCCACTCCTTCGTTGCCTGGACGTTGTGTTTGGGATCATTGTCATGCTGAAAGACCCAGCCACATCTCATCTTCAATGCCCTTGCTGATGGAAGGAGATTGTCACTCAAAATCTCACGATACATGGCCCCATTCATTCTTTCCTTTACACGGATCAGTCGTCCTGGTCCCTTTGCAGAAAAACAGCCCCAAAGCATGATGTTTCCATCCCCATGTTTCACAGTAGGTGTTCTTTGGATGCAACTCAGCATTCTTTCTCCTCCAAACACGTCTAGTTGAGGTTTTACCAAAAAGTTCTATTTTGGTTTCATCTGACCATATGACATTCTCCCAATCCTCTTCTGGATCATCTAAATGCTCTCTAGCAAACTTCAGACGGGCCTGGACATGTACTGGCTTAAGCAGGGGGACACGTCTGGCACTGTAGGATTTGCGTAGTGTGTTAATGATGGTAGCCTTTGTTACTTTGGTCCCAGCTCTCTGCAGGTCATTGACTAGGTCCCCCCGTGTGGTTCTGGGATTTTTGCTCACCGTTCTTGTGAGGGGGGTGTATTCAACCCAATATGGGGTCCCACTTACCAAATATTTGTCACGTGGGGGGGTGTCCGTCAACCAAATACGGGGTCCCACTTTTCGCGTATATGTATTGATGTACTTATGGGGGGGGGGGGGGGGGGGGGGGTGTCCGTCAACCCACATCTCAGGGGAGGCGCTCTCCGTGGTGCTGAACCCAGGCCACTTCCAGATATACCTATGGGGATTGTGGCGATGTCCCACATCTCAATATGGAAGCCCACTTGTAGATCCCACATCTCAATATCGATACCCACTTGCCTGGGGGTCCCACAAGTCAATATGAGAGCCCACTTCAGGGCTCCCACATCTCAATATGGAAGCCCACTTGCAGTAATACCTATGGGGATTGGGGCGATGTCCCACATCTCAATATGGAAGCCCACTTGTAGATCCCACATCTCAGGGGAGGCACTCTCCGTGGTGCTGAACCCCGGCCACTTGCAGATATACCTATGGGGATTGTGGCGAAGTCCCACATCTCAATATGGAAGCCCACGTGTAGATCCCACATCTCAATATGGAAGCCCACTTGCAGATATACCTATGGGGATTGGGGTGATGTCCCACATCTCAATATGGAAGCCCACTTCTTAATATTATTAATAATTCCAAAATAAAAATATTAGTTTTATTATTAAAATTAACTATTAAATATGCAGTAATGGGCCCCCATATTGACTTGTGGACAGTTAGTGTCCACATATAAAAATGAATTCAAGGGAACTTAAGATTGAGTGCCAAGGGTGAGAGTCGAACCCCGCTCTACCACACCAAGGACACAAGGAGCGACTCCCATTCCATTGCCCCACAAGTGGCGCTGAAGCTTATTGAACAAAAGTATTATATATAGACTCCACTATAAAGTAAAAAGACATTTCTCTATCGTTTTGGCGATCAAATTTAACAGAAAAACACATCAAATCACATCTACAAATCAATACGAAGCTAATGAAACAACTCTCAGACTACTAGCGTGTTTACAAGTTTGAAAACGTAGCAATGGCTTTTCACATCACACCATTGTGTGATATATGATTAATATGATGAAATGAATGTGTATAATGTTCTTAAATGTTCCCAATGATTGTTCTTATAATGTTTCTTAAATGTTTTTGTATAAATGTATTTGTTCTGCTATATAATATGGAGAGTCTGACAGGAGTTTCGAACCCGGGTCTCCCGTAGCAAGGGGCGACACCCGGTCGCCTAAAGCTTATAGCTGTATAGTCTATTATAAACATTCTGAACGGCACATTTACCTGTGTTTTCCACCATCAAAATGTACAAACGACACATCAAATCAAATCTACAGATGAAGAAAAAAACCTGAAGTATATATATATATCTCTCTATAGTCCAAATATATTTGAACTATCTGAACTCTATCTATGGAGCTAATTTCCTGCCATAATTCCACAAAAAAACTAAACAGGTTTTACAAATGCCTCATGATTCACTAACAAACACAATGTGGTTTGCAAATACAAAACACCATCTACAAACTAATGCATTTAGTTTGGCAAAGAAAAAACGTATCTATCAAACAAACACATAACATTTTTCTAATAAATCATGTTTCAGAGACAAATTCAGCATAGGTTTTACAAGTACACAACTTTTTTTTACAACTACAACACTTTTTTTTACAAGTACAAAACTTGTTTTTACAACTACAAAACGTTTTCTTCTCACGGCGGAATATTACTGCCAAAAGTCACGTGACTTTTGGCAGTAATATTCCGCCGTGGCTGGCACATGCTCCACGGCAGCAGGGGGCGCTACTGAGTCCATTGGGGAAGGCGGGAGCCTCCCGCCGGGAGGTTGAGCAGAGCATGGAACAGCCCTTGCCAGCCTGATGACAGTGGTGATTCTAGCGATCCAGCAATCTGGGTCAGTGTTTGAACAAGGTGAATTTAGCGATCACAACGAAAACAGCCAAGACACATATTGAGCCCAGAAAATGAATGTTATTAAGGCTGTACATATAATAAGCCTTTGTCTAAAATGGACAACATTGTAACTAAGGAGATTTAAACCACACAGCGATTCTGCACTCTTCATTTTCTTTCCTGCTATATTCAAAAGGAAGTACTTTACTGTGTACTTTGTGAGTAATCCTCTGTCAGAGTCCCTTCCGTAGGCTATAATGCATGTTTTATGCTATCTTTGATGAATGATAAAAAGACAATTTTACCATAAGTTCTTAATGATATTGAGACTGCTGGACTCAGTATTCTTATATCTACTATCACAATACATTGTGCTTCTAGTACTTCTAGTGTGTGTGTTTTTTTTAAAAATCCTCTGTCAAAGTCCCTTCCTGAGAACCTAATCAAGCCACTTCTGCTAAGTTTGATGAGGGAAAAACAATTTTTGTTGCCATTAGTTCTTCGTGAGATTGACACTGTTGGACTCAGTACTAGTCCCACAAGTACTATGAAGTACTTTTACTGTGTACTTTTTGAGTAATCCTCTGTCAATGTCCCCTCCTGACTCCTGAGTACAATAATGCATGTTTCTCTGCTATTTTGAACAAGCGTTAAAACACCTTTCTTATGAGACTGATATTGTTAGACAGAGTACTTTAAGAGGATGGTACATGGTAGACATGATATCAGCAATACTTCCAGTCAGTACTCTGGCAGCAGCATGTTTACCCCTTGGAAAGTCTTTAGAGTCTGGCCTGGATATAGCTGGTCACAAATATCCTTCA